AAAATACTTCTTGCAACACAACTTTAAATTAAATCAAGTTGCTGATTCAAATAACTTGTTGATGTCGAAGAATAATCTAAAATAAAAACTGTTCAGCAATGCTGTCAAACGATGATATCTTGACAGTTGCTAAGTGAGTCATCACTGATATAAACAGGTTCAATTTGTCATAGGCATAACCAATTCTATTTTCGCATTAATGGATTCCTTGTGCCTCTATACTGGCGTCCATATTTTCCCTTAACTCGTTGGATTCCCTTAAATGGTTACCACATCTACTGTCTGATGCAAATGATTCATTCCATCATTTCTAAGAGGAATCCACTGATGCACTAATTGAAGTCATTTTCATAAATGGAAGTATTAAAAAACCAATGCCACAGAAAAATTAGGCACTTCTTAATAATACTAATTTTATAACAGCGGCTGTTTGTAGTTGCATTTAAATGAAATAATTTAAAATGTTTTTTTTTTTATTTCGACGTTTCGACTGGTTAAACAGCCATCATCAAGATTTATTAAGTCTTTAATATGATAAAACTTTAATTCACAATTATTGCAGCTGAAAAACTATTGGTAAACATATTGTTTGTTATTATGATGAGAAAGGAAAAGAGAAACGAAGAAGATAATAGTTGAGTATAGATAGCTAGGAAGAAAAATGACTAGACATTTACATATGTGAAGGAAAGAGAAAAATAGTTAAAACGTAGGAATGAGATAGGAAAGATAGAGAGAGAAGAAATAAAAGAGGGAAGAAAGTATATAAGAGAGAAATTTATATATATATAGAAATAGATATGTTTGTGTGGTTCATTATAGTGATGTTAGAAAAATAGTAAAATGAGAGTTAGATAAAATGAAACAAGAGTAAGAATATATTTATGCTGCTGTTATACTTAGTTTATTGTCTGAATTTTGGTAAGTAACGTTTTTGAATACCATCTGGGAATATGTACAATGGAATAGAATGAGTTGTTCTGTTTAATTCTGGTTCATAAGCTTTAATTATTAAAGATTCTTTGATTAATAACTTGTGTGGTGTACTATCTGACCAGATTACTTGACAATTTTCCCAGTCTATTTTATGTTTCATCTCACTTACATGTCTAGAAACAGCTGAGAGTGTTTCTTTTTCTTTAGATTCGTACGTGGTGTGATTCTGTGCATTTGAATTACTCTGATACTTATTTATTATTTGACATTTATTCAATTGCAACTTCTTAATTCGATTTGATCTTCTTAAAACATCAATTTGTAATTGATCATTTGTATTGTTTAATGTATTCATTATTTCAGCATCAATGTTAATCTTTGAATGATTTGTATATTGTAGACGATTCTTTATATCATGTTCAATATCTGAGTCTTTTATTTCCCTACATTTAATTATTTGATTACTATTCATTGACTCAACCATTGTTGATCTTGTATTATTCATTGTGGGTAAAACCATCATATCTAAACACTTCTTATCAAGATTTACATGATGTGGTTCTGCATCTTCAAAATCTTCTATTATTTCAATCATGGTAACATCATTAGTTACTGAGTAATTTCCAGCTGATTGAACATTAGGACCTCTCATCTCCTTGATTTTTAAGCTTGAATTGGGAATATTTGATGCATTTAATGATGTGATGGCTTTATAATTAATTGGTCGATTATTGAAATTTGATTCATTATCTTCATCCAATGAAGGAATGTTAACTGAAAAATACTTAATACTTTTCGTATTATTATCTTCGATTTGTTGATCACCTGGAAAGATTAGTTGTTTTAATTCGTTATTTTTTGTTAGATTATTACATCTGAAACTAAATAATTATCAGCATTTAAACAATTATTATTATTTAATGTGTGACTATGATCATCTTCTTCATTGTTTGAAATTATTTGTTGTTTTAATTTACTTCTTATTGTTAGATCGTTATCATTTGAATACGAGTAATTATTATTATTTGAATCATTATTATTTATTATATGATTATCATTATCTTGTTCATTTGTTGGAAGTATTTGTTGTTTCAATTTATTTCGTGTTCGATTGCTAATATTTGAATATGAGTAATTATTCTTATTTGAATTATTATTACTTATTGTATGAATAACATCATCTTGTTTAGTCACTGTAATTATTTGTTGTTTTAACTCATTTTTTGTTTGACGATTACTATCATTTGAAAGTTAATAAATGTTATTATTTAAACAAATATTATTTATTGCATGACTATCATCATCTTGTTCATTTTCTGGGTGTGGGTGGGGTGTGGGTGCGGTTGTAGTTTAGAAACAACACTCACACCTTCATACCCTCAATATGATGAACTTCGTTTATTTAGACACTTTTTAAACATCTATTTATTTAACATGATCTTAATAATTTACAATTAATAATTGATGGTATCAATTTACTGTTTTTAAGTAAATAAAAAGTTATCAATAAAAACTTTTACTTTACTTTTTATAACAGGATATATCGAATGTTACAAATGAAATAATTGATGTTCAATCAGCAGAAAAAGTTTTTTATTTTTAGTTAAGTAATAAAAAACATATAGAATATTTATCATTTTATTCATAGAATTTGATCGATATTTACTTGTGCTATGGATGATACGACTCTTTCAATCCCACCAGCATCAAAAATAACTTTTTCACCACTTCCTGCTTCATCTGGACAATTGGAAAAACGTTTCGAAAGTACCAATGATTCAAGTAATCCAACAATGTAATCATTTAAAAAAAAATCTTGATTTTATTTTTAAAGAAAATGAAAAATATTCAATTAATAATCTTGATGAAAACAGTTCCCTAAAATTAAGTAATAGATGCCACAATAACATCAACTATAACAACTACAGATAAAGATAAAAAAGTAAATCGAACACAATTAGATGCTTTTGGAAATAATCCACCGATGATGAAATGATTTCATTTAATACATTTGTCATATCAAACGCATAAAAGTTTATTGCTTTGGACAATTACTTTCACCAATATTAATTTTTATAAAATCAGTTTTCAATCTTATTTCAATACAAGATATTTCAAAACATTTAGAAGAAACACTTAATTATCTTAAATCAACGTTTAATATCGATAAAATAAAAACAATTCAATGTACACAAAAGGTTATATTAATATTAGCTAGGATAATAAATATATTTTTCATTTATCTAGTTATTCTTTGATTAATATTCATACAATAACTATTTGACAACCAGTGATTTGCTTATCCGGATCATGTCATGCGTCAAGTGTTAATAGTGATCACTCAATAGAAAATAGCACAACACGAGAGTAACATTAGAATTGAAATCAAGAAAAAAAGATTTTTTCTTTTGGTATAGTTTTTATTTAACTAAAAAATAATGAAAAACAATAGAACATTTAAAATGTCCACTAAATCGAACAGAACGTACGCAAAAATTGACAATTATATTCATTTATTCAAACTAATGGATATTCTTAGTCTCAAAAAAAATATGTTAATTCAAATGAAACAGAATTTCAAGCGTCTGTACTCGATTTACCTGTACAATTACTTTTACTTCGTGTTCATTATAATTTATTAGATGCTGATGAAGTTTGTTTTTTTTGAATTATTTTGATCTTTTGATGTATCCCTTTGTGTTTTTATTAAAATAAGACTTTCTTATTCATATAATCAATTAATTTGAAATGACTGAAAAACTATATCAGGTTTTGATGTCTAATCACATTTTATTTATCGTGTTGCTGAATTTCTTGTTATATTACCACATGATACACTTCATTCCAAACAAATAACTAAAGTATAAGATTTAATTAAATATGATGATTTATTATTAGCAAGTGGGCACGAACCTGAAACACATAGTAAACAATATTATTTATTTTTATTATTAAGAAATATATTTCTTTTTTTCGTAGCTTTATCTGAAATAGAATCCGTTGTATATGATTTATTTCTTGTTCGACTTAAAACTGATAATAAAGAATTAGAAACATAACGAATTGTTGTTGTTCAAACATTACAAAAACTTGTTCAATATAATAAAGTAATTCAATATGATGTAAAGAAATAGGATAATTTATTTATTATAGGCTTTGCAATTGTTAACAGTGATTGTTAGTAGTGTTCGAAGTGAAGTTGACAAATGGAAATGTCTTTCACAACAAATTGTTGATGTACGTCTTGTTCATTTACAATCAAATGTTTTTCTTGGTTTACCGAAGATTTTTTTGCTTTAAATTATATTTTATTTTATGATAATTATTTTTTTTTTGTAAAATAGGCTCTATCTTTATTAAATTAACAGTATTTGATGTTTTATTACAAATTAATTTTCTATGTATATAATTTTTTGTAGAATTTCGATCATCATACGATAAATCAATGGTTAATGAATATAAATATAATTCTTCGATGTCTTGTACAAAATTCAACTGAAGATATTATATTAACACCATGGAATGATGCTTTATCATCAGTTAATAGAACTCGAGATGAAGATTTTCCTACGAAAGTGTTCAAAATGATTTATTTATAATTTAATAACTATTATTCTCATTATTTTTTTTTTGTTTTTCGAACTCTTCTTCCTATTTTACATGATGTAGTATTACGACTTTTAACTAATACTCGATATTAACGCGGTGAAATCGATATGACATCAGTTTATCTTGCATTCGATTATCTTTATCTACTTATGCATATTATACAAAATGGTAACGAATCGCAATAGCAATGCATTTGTAGACATGAATATGAGAGTTACTCAGAAAATAAACTATAGAAACATCACGTAGACTCTAATGAGCTGCGAATAACATGCAATGGCTTTCGAACACCTAACTTAGTGCTGTGGAGATACTGTGGCTACATAGCATCGTTTAGTTCAAGCCGTCATTTTTGTAAGGAACACTAGAATGATTGATTTTGAAAATTTCGACTTGAAACTTTGTAGAAAGATGAGCAGTCTTAAATAAGGGAGAACAAACTGTCTGAATAGACAAAAAACTGCTTTCTAGTAATAGTAATCAAAAAAATCAGCTTCTTCTCTCTTGCTCTCAAGTCAAAAGATTTGAACCTTTCACAATTAACTATTCTCGCTATGACCTATCTTTATGCAAAATCAATCAGTTGGAGGACTTCTCTCATAATTGTCTTATTCTTTGGCCAATCATTAAATTTATTCTCTATGATAGTATCGTATCATTCATTAATTAGAAGGTACAATTTTTCTATAAATTTTCCTTCAATGCATCAATGACTAATCAGTTAACCAAAACCATTTAACTTTAAAATTTCCATGCATTTATAAAATCTATGATTTTTTTTAGCTAAACAATTTCGGACAATTATAAATGATTTTCATCAATTATTAATCTATGATGAAATACTATATCGTCTTGATACATTTTCATATTTAACTATTGTTAAGTGAATATTTTAAATTACTATCATCATTTTTATATACCATTATTATAACAATGGACACATATTCTTAATATACTTGATTATACACAAGAAACTTGGTGGTCATCAATATTAACACCATCATCATTAATAACACATTTATCCATAAGTGGTCAATTACAATCTTATTGTGATTTAATACGTCGTCATGAATTATATGTTGAATATTTAACATCACTAATAACACATCCTCAATTGTTACTTTTTTTTTTATTTGAACAAAATGATAGATGTACATAATGTATATAATTTATTTGGTCTTATATATCGTACATCTGTTGCAAGTCATTTATTTGTTGAATCAATATATACAATATTGGTATTATTTATTAAAACAAAATATAATTCTTATTATCATTAAAAATTGTTCGTAGACTTGAAGGAATAGATTTAGATGAAAGTGGTCTTTTATTAGTTTTTATTAATTAAACAATTTCTTGCATTATTATATTTATATTTCTATTATGTTTAACTGAATTAATTGTTTGTCATCGTATTGAAATAATGTTAACACTTGATGAACAAATATTAAATAAACAATTATTACTAAAATATTTACCATTCATTTAACAAATATTATCAACAACCAAAACAAATTATGATAATAAATTCAATGAACATCTTTGTACATTTATATAACGTTTAATTTGTAAAATGAATTATACAGCAACAATATCAATTTATTGCGATAAATATATATTGAAAATATAATACAATTAAAACAAAAATTTATTTTTCTTTGACATTGTTGACTTTTGAATAGTTCAAATTTTCAAAAAATATTAAAGTATAAAACTGTAATTTTAATACATTTTTCAATTTGAATAGATTAATAAGAAGCAAAAATGCAGAGTTTCAAGTAATGTAGATCGTAAAGGAAAGCATTTAAGCTAAATTAGTAGCGTGAGCAGATTATTCGTCACGAGTGTCGGTGTGAACGAGAATCTTTTTTTACTTTTAATTTTGCTTCAGGACACTTTTTGAACGCATATGCTATGCAACGAATTGTACTACACAGGTGACACAATACTAGAGCTCTGTAGGATTAAAGTTTTTTTTCATGTCTTAGATTTCATTGGTCACATTCTGAATTGTACTGTTACAGCAAAAGAAAGCGACGTGTTTTTGATACTAGCAATAAAAAAATGAATAATTTACTATTTATTAAATGAAGAAATTGATCTCAAGCATGAATGCTGTTTAGATACACATTCGCCCTCATTCAGATACTGATTATTGTGTGTAATAGACTAAATAAATTCGATGATATGTTTACAATGGAGTGAAAATAAAATGACTGATAACGAAAATAATCATAAATATTTTTTAAAGATATCTCGTAAGATGTTTTTCTATTGTATTATTAAGTTAAAATCCAAAATAATTTTTAGAGATCAGAAATTTGAAGTTTATAACATGCTCTTCTAAATAAATATCACGAACCTAGGATTAAGGATGCAGCAGTGACGATGATCTTATATTCATTTCAACTTTTTCGATCGAAGGAGGTCTATTTCAAAAAAAACCTTGAATTTTACAAAGCATATTCACATCGTTCTCAAACTAGAAAATGGCACGCGAAAATTTTGACAAACCTTCTATAGATTCGGATTTCTAGACTTCGAAAACCTACATTTTATATTTATTAAACTCAGCTATTTCCTCGAAAGAGCTTTTCCAATAGAAATCAATGCCAGACTAGTATACTTTTATCATGCATTCACCATATACCTGTACATATTTAGATTACCTCACCACTGTCACTTTTGCATCGCATGTTCAAGACATTACTTTTTTAGGATGATTCTCATAGAAATGAAAATTAACTTCGAAAAAAATAAGAAACAATTTAATTTGTTTTTTTTTCTTCTAAGGAATTCGTATGATTATCAATGCTTCATTGTCTTGTCGTTGGTATTAATATTCCATCATTATGGCATGAATCAATAGATGCATTAATTTAAAAAATCAATGATCTATGTTGTTTGTTACGAACACAACGATTAATATCAAATAAAATAAATTTCAATGATGTAGAAGCAATATTTAATACAATTTATATAAAAACTCTTTTATAGTGTTTTAATAATCAACCATATTTAATTGTATTAATAAATTCTATACCAATTTATTTTGATATAATACAAAATCATGTTGAATCAATATGTCAATTTTCATCAAATGATATAGATGATTTATTACGTTTTATAATATTTATATCAGAAACCATTTATATGAATATATTTCGAAAAAAATCTATTCTTTGTTGGAATTATATTGAAAGTTTTTTTCATTTATCATGTTTTACATTATCAAAAACTATATTATCAATATTTGAATATCTTTTTATTCAACGACATGATTTAACTCTATCAAATAAACAAATCAATTATTACTTTTATCATTTAATGATCTTGATCGTCGTTATTATTTATCAAGAAAAATTAAGTATATTAATCATATATTTATCTATATGATTTACGTTGTTTCGTTTACCAATATTTAATTGATTTACACATGTACCAAGACAATTTTGAGAACTTAATTATCAAGATATAAATAAATTACAATTTAGTTTAAATAATTATTGTTAATTATCGTCTTAAGACCAACAAATAATTTAACCACATAAGAAATTTTTAATCACAATATGAAAAAATCCTCTTATGAATTCCTTCTATCGGAGAATGCTTCTTACTATGGAATGATTTTGAATATTGAGATTGTAATTATATAATGTTTGCACATAAACTTTCCTAGAATCAATATTTTATTATTTTGATATCATATGAAGATAATAGATTTTATCTGTTTTTTTTTTCTCTGCATAGTGTATGACTTCGTGGCGTAACAATATTTTTGTTAAATGCTCTTCGACTGAATTGCACAGGGAGTTCAGCTGATATGACATCTGAATATTGATGTCGAAATAAATCTATTCCACTTTTATTAGCTGATATCGATGGTCAATATATGCAAACACGTTCAACATTAGAAACAAGTTCAAATAGTTTTGTTTTTTTTTATAAATCATGAACGATTAAGTACACGTGATGGGCTCAGTATGAGTACAAACAGTGAGGTAAAGTTCGGGTAGTTTCCTCATAAGCTCGAGAAGAAATGTTTCATGTAGAACAATTTACTCGTAAATGAATTATTCGAGATATATATAATCATATTTTATAACATGATTAGTATTATTAAGACTGCAAAGTTTATGAGTTTTCTATTTTTTTTGTTAAGGACTCTTATTCAGCACTATTAATAGCATAATTAATTGTTAAACCATGTGAAATAACTATCGAATTTATTCAAACAAATTCTTCATATATTCCAGTTGATTATTGTAAAATTCTTATTGAGGCAAGATATCATCATGCTGCAGTACTACTCTATTCTATGCATTAAAAACATCAACAAACTATTGATATATGGAAAGAGTAGTGTAAAATATATATACGTATATATTATTTAAATCTATTCAATAATCTTTCTATTTAGTTAAATTATATATGAATGATGCGAAATTTTCAAGTATTTCTCTTCCAAATTCATCGATGTCAGTTAAAAGGATATTTTAGCTTCTCGTTGACAAAGAACATACACAAGATGTATGACATGTTATAAAGCATCATGAAATAAAACTAGATCCATTGGAACAATGCCGCCCATTTCATTATAATCTTAAAGGATATTTTTCATATGACCTTTTTATTTATTAATAGACATTCACCCAAACTAAATAGAGGAATTTGGGTATATTAAACTTATCGCACTGATTATGAACTATATCAATAAACTACAGCGCCATTAATATTGAAGAAAGTTGGCCTTTGACAACTAAATGGCAAATGATCAAATGAGCTGCTTCATCAAATAAGATATTCGAACAGAACTGAACACATCCTCCCTCCTCAAGCTCAAACTGATTGGGTTTGGCTTTTTGTTTTTGACTCTGGTATTTAGTGTAAGAAGGTTGCCGAAATTCCTCTTTTGGCATTCTGTAGTATCATTCTCCTACTTTAGTTTTTTACTGAAGAAAAACTGTTGTGTCGGACAGTTCAGTAAATAAGGGCATTTTCTCTTATTTTGTCAGAAACGATCCAAACGGTTTGGGTGCATGCCTATTTAGCAAAGTCAATTAAATTTTCATAGATTTAATCTTGATTAACAAAATTATCAAGAATTATATGAATTTCGACTCACGGAATTTTTGATACGGCTTGAAAATCCAGTGACTTTTCGGTCTTGAACAAAAATCATTAAGAACTTCTGACCATAGCTTAAATTAATTAGGAATACATAATGAGCAGCAAAATAACCTGATACTTAGAAGAACAGTTGAGTTCTTAGCAAGATGACACTATGATTAGCAAATCGGTGTAACAGTTCAGCTGAAGAACATAGTGCTTAAAAGTTTGTTTTCATTCTATTGAAGGTATCATGATTTAGTTAGGAGTCTAAATTCTTTTTTAACTACCTATAATTAAGCGAAAAATAATAACTTCTATGTACAGATCAAATGTGTAAGATCTCGACGATAATACACATAAAATAATTTTTTGCTGATTAATATCTTGATATGTCACTCTAAAACGCTGAATAAAGTTCGATAGAGCTCCATTCATCACTTTATTAAATACAAATATTTATTCATATTTGTTCACCACTGATAGTCGAGGTTTCTATGAAGTTTTTTCAGTAATCAAACCATTGTTTGAACAATCAATGGCTTCAACGGATAAATATCAACCTTAAAAATTCCTATATCATCTGTTATTTATTTATACAGTATTTCATCTCTTAATATGCAACTTGTTGAGCAGAATTCCATAACTACCATAGCGTGGTATTAACTCTTACTGCTTAGGAGAACGCCATCCTACTGATCACTTAGTAGAGCTCTTGAACTTTAATTTCATCTAAATGCTAATTGCTGATTACAACATCGTCTAACTGAGCAGAATGTCATCTGGCTCAGCATTAAGCAATACCAAAACTAATTCAAAAAAAGCAAAAATTCCTTGGTCCAAAATTTCAATCTTCCGTTTGTTATTTCAATATGGACTTTTAGAAGAAATATTCCTTTTTCATCACCAATATGATTTGAATAAAGCATTGCTGCTTCACCAGTTGATCGTCAATATCTTTTGATTTCAAAGATGCTGCAAGGTTATCAAACTATAAATAAACAAAATATATATTTCGTTATGAAAGATTTCTATTAAATATAATTTGTT